CTACTAAATAAGCAGAAATGAGAAGGAAGAATTGTGGAGAAGTCATAACCTTTCTACAGTTATGAGCTTTTAATAGGAATTTTGTATCATATAACTCTAATGCCTTTGCAGATGTCATGCCATAATTAACGACCATATCCTGGTAGGAAAATGAAGTTAAATAATTGAACACTAATCTTACTTAATAAACAACCAACCCTGTGTAAACTGAATTAGAATTACAAAGCAAAAGCAACACTTACCTGCAATTCCGTCGGCAGAAAGCACACTCCTCTTCCACGACCAGTATCTCTTTTAACTTCGTCCAAGGTCAAGTGGCATGCTAACGCTGTAATTACCTAAAACACAATAGAAATAAAATCCAATGATTAAAAATCGTTAAGCACGTTCAGGTCAACTAGGGGCTTTTCGCAGAAGTACTTACATCAGCATCAACGCTTGACTCGGGGCATAAGCTCCATAATGTCTGCCTGGTATATGATTTCATCATTGTTTTGACCAAAGCTTCATCAGGAGGAAGGTCTTCTGCAAATATATAGTGAGCAAAACTCACTTCTTCGTCACTGTAGTTGACGGTTGTAGGGAGCTCAAACCTTGTGGTACCCTTCAATCATGGAGAACGAACAAATAGAGGAAATAAGAAGAGGTTTTCACTAGGATTACAAGTGGCGGAGAAAGGAACGAAGGAAAACAACGAAAATAGTGGGCGAAAAGGAAGCATATGTACATCACTAGGATTACATACCTTTATTGACAATTTTTGTGGAGGCGTGAGGGGTTTGTTTTGCACACCTAGCTCATAATGTTCCAGACCTGGTTCAGCATCAAGAACAATCACCTTCGAGTCGGGTGTAGGTGGGGGGATGACATCTTGCATTCTTGTTTTCTTTGCAGGAGATACATAGTTCTCCAATTCCTACAATAATGAACAATCAAGTCAGAATAAGTTTTGTATAAATAACCTACTGTTAAAGCTCCTGGACGAACCATAGACTTGGATAGAGAACGCGTTAGGCGTACAGTAGACTGGCCGCTCGTCATCTTGTTCTTCTCCCTAATATAATTGTACAAAAAAGCAACGAGAGAGTGGAATATAAGAACAAATACAACGAAATAGCTGACTAAAAAGTTAAAGAAAACACATTAGCGGATTGCAGAACTTACCCTTCCTTCCCCATAATGTTACAGACACAATGTTGACCAAAGGGCCTCTGCGCAACTTTTAGTTGAATGAGTTTTGGGCAAGATGTTTGGCCATATTAATAGATGCGCCAAAGGGGTGTTTAACCTCGTCTATTAGGAAAACCCATGAGATATCAATTAGAGTTTTTTTATATGTGGGAACTTCTATATTTATCCACCTCATTAAATGAACTTAATAAGGAATTAACTAGTTACGTGTGAACTTCTATATTTATCCACCTCACTAAACCGATTAGGGGCTTCATTTTAGGGTTTTAAGGTTCGAAAAGACAAGACCACGAAAGCAGATGGAAGGAGGGGCCACCTGGTGCAATTGATGCTTTTGGAGTAGGTGTCCTCCATTTGAGGGACAACAGGCTTGGTTATGCGAACCAAGGAGTTTATTTAGGCCCACTAGTTTTATTTAAATAGGCCAAACGAATTCAGTCCAGCCCATGGATGTTTTGACCCAAATTGTTCTGTTAAAAACAAGGATTTAATTTCACAGCTTATATACAACATCCGTTAGGTTTTTCATAGTGAAGCGCCAGCGGAGAGGCTAGTTCCTTAGTACTACTTTGGCTACTTAGGGTTAGTTGGCTTGGACAATCACAAGCGCGACGATCATGGAAGACGATGAAATCGTCGAAGTGGAAAACAATGAAGATATTAACAACAGTAACAGTTCAACTATTCACAACGTTCACCAAAGTTCAGAGGTAGAAGATGATGATCTTGCCGATCTCTTACTTCTACAGCAAGAAGATATCGAGAAGCTAAGATTAGCTAACACTGAAGAAGCCTATGATTTTTGGAGGAACTATGGGCTGGTCACCGGCTTTGACGTCAGGAAAGAAGATATTGGCCGAGATAAAGACAAGGTCATGATATGGCGTCGGTTTGTATGTTCTGGTCAAGGAACAAAGCGCGACCGAAAGGGTGAACGAAAGAGGGAACCAAAAGGAGAGACGAGATTTGACTGCAAAGCTAGGATTCGTGTACGACTAGACAAGTCAGATGGGAAGTGGTTTGTGGATACCTTTCATAACGTGCACTCTCACGTAACGGTTCCAAAAATATACCGACACTACATGAAAGGGAATCGACAGTTGATTGATGCAGTTAAAGCAGCAATCAATTTCCGGAGAGCTGCAGGAATGAAAACATCACAGATTGTTTCACTAGCGGTTGCAGAGGCAGGAGGCTATAGCAAGATGGGGTTCACGAGGAAAGATGCGTATAATTACGTGGACAAAGATCGGAAGGAACAGATTAGTGATGGTGATGCTGCGACAGCACTAGCTTACCTACAGGCGAAACTAAGTGCGGATGAACAGTTCGTAATTGAGCTAAAAAAAGACGATGAAGACAGGCTTGTTAACTTGTTCTGGGCAGATAGTATTTCAGTGGCTGATTATGCATGCTTTGGAGAATTATTGGCTTTCGATGCGACTTACAAAAAGAACGTCTACAATATGCCTCTAGTCATTTTTTTAGGTACTAATTCTTTTATTTTCGGTTCATAGTAACTTATATTTTCATTCCTATAAAGTATAAAGAATTTATTCATTGAAACTTAATACCACACGTTAAAGAGCCTAATGCAATATCACTTCCATGCGTTATGGGTACAGTGTAATTCTTGTCTTATTAGTGAAGTAATTTTAATAACCTGTTTATTTTTTAGGTGTGAACCACCACTTCAACAATTGCATATTTGGATGTTCATTTTTTGGCAAATGAGAAAGAAGAAAACTATGTATGGGTTCTAGATTCCTTGAGGAGAAGGTTGGTCGATGTAGATCCTAAAACTGTTGTTACAGATGGAGATAAAGCCATGCGCAATGCAATTCAGCAAGTATTCCCCGATGCGACACATCGTTTATGTGCTTGGCACATAGACAAAACTATTGCCAGAAAAGTGAGGGACTATCCTAACTTCTTGCCACAATGGAAACATTTCGTGTCAGCTGATTGGGAACCTTCAGTATTTGAAGAGAAGTGGAAAACAATGGTCGAGGAGTGCTCACAGCAGCATAACAATTGGGTTTCACATCTATTTGACCAAAGAACTGAATGGGGGTATACATACTTGCGCTCAAAGTTCTTTGCAGGCTTGTCAACAACGTCTAGATGTGAAGGAATCAACTCTCAGCTTACCAAGTATATCGAAAACAATCATAATCTACTTGAGTTCTTTATTCATTTTGATCGTTGGGCTAGGGATATGAGGGAGATGGAGCAACAAGCTGATTTTGAGTCCATCCATCGTGAACGGACAATAACGTCTAATATATTAGTCTCACTTCAGAAGAGTGCGTCTAAATTATTCACAAAAGAAGCCTTTTTCAAATTCAGAGATGAGGTTGAAAAGTCGGGAGCTTGTGTAAGGATGGATTCAGAGATATCGGAAAACCAACGCATTTACAGAGTGACAATGTTAGGTAAACAAAAGGTATTTCAGGTCACATACACAATTGAGCCCTTCGCTATGGAGTGTAGTTGTAACTATTACCACTATATGGGAATACCATGCGCTCATATGGTTCATCTACTGAAAGCAGAGGGTATGCTGGAACTTCCAGAACGGTTGGTAAAGTTAAGGTGGTCAAAGAAGCCGAAGACACTTGATAGCTTACAACAACCACACAATATGGACGAGGCTAGACTATTCACATTCAGGTTCGTAGTTACTGTATAAAGCTGGAAATTGTGTGTTACTGTGTTTAAGAAAGCAGTTCAGATGTGTTTATTAAATACTAAGGTGGTACCAGAGGGCGTTGACCCGTTTTAGAACATAAGCTTTCACTTTTTCGTGACGTTTTAATAGAATAATATTGAATGTGGTTTTCAGATATGGGCTTCTTCAACAAAGCAGCTCCCAGTTATGGTTAAAATGGGCAAAATCAAGCGAAAGCTTAAACCTTGCTCGTACAGGAATTGCATCCATATGTGAATCGCTAGACATGATGAACGAAGGTGATACTGAGATCCCAGATATCAATAGACCAAAGGCAAAAGAGAAACTTTTGGATCCACATCCTCTGAAATACAAAGGTTCGGGTGGACAAGAAAACAAAAGGAAGAAAGGGGAGCAACGAATGCGTAGCAGATGTGGCGTATTGGTTCATAAAAAAAGCACTTGTAAGAAGCCTCCTGATTATGTGAGGCCTACAATACCAGAACCTACTGATACTGAAACTAATGAAGAACCAAATAGTGAAAACGTCGCCAACAACGGAGCTGACCAGCAAGCACCACACATTGGCAGAAAACCAAAACATTGCAGTAAATGTGGGAAGGATACTCATAATGCCAGAACTTGTCCAGAGTTATCAGAGGAGGATACTGAAGCGGATGTTGATACAACCGACATCCCTGATCCACCAACTGTAATATTAGAAGTTCATTGTGCATGTCTAGAATACTTTTGGGAAACAATTATTTTCGTTGGAACTAAACTTTATATATTCAATGTTGCAGAAGAAGCAATGTACTAGAAGGGAAGGCCTGAGGAGCAGCAAGAAGGCTAGTTGAAAAGATTGGCATGGATTCTAATAACCGGAGACACATTTCGAATCTGGCCATTTGTTTGATACTCTATGGACGAGTTAGGTTCTTTGATTGGAGGACGTTATGATGTTTGGTTGGGTATTTTCATACTTTCTGGTCCTGGTTGTTCATGTTTTAGGTTCATTAAACTTCTTTTCCAATCAACAATGTATGCCTCTACTTTTGCTGGTCCAGATTATTTTTGTGTTCTAGTTGAAAAACACTCTGTATTGAAAAATATCTAGCTTGGAACTAAACACTAAGCACTAAGCAGAAGAACGAACCTGAGGTCAAAAACCGAGCACAGAGCAAAACCGAGCAACAACCACAGCCACAGGTCTCAAACCACTCTGAACGCTTTGATTACAATCCGAACAGCTTGCCAATGGAAATTAATTGAGGTCAGAAACAAAAACTATCGAGCCTACAATCAAATCAAGAGTAGAGACGAAAAAAATTGAATGGACCGCTTGATTCATTGGATCTGATTACAATCCTCATCGATGGACAATTGAGGACCCGAGAACTTCACTCCGCGTTGGTACAAAGGCTATTCTGTCAAAACTCCAAATCAGTGATAGACCAACACAAATGAGAGAAAGGACAGAGAATTTAGAACATACCTCTATCAGGACTCGCATGCAGCAGCGCCTCCGTCGATGGGAAGAGAACCCAAAACTAAAATCGACAACCCGACCTTTGGATGAGATTACAATATATGATTATGAGAAGGAGAAGGAACGAATTGACGATTGTGGGAAGGGTTTGGTTCCACTCCGGCGGGTTGACGAACAAGCAAGGTGAAAGAACGAAATGAAGAGAAGGAAGTCAGAAAGGTAAAGTTGGGTTGGCAATATTTTTATTTTTTTCATAGGGTGGAAAACTAAAATCGTTGAGAGAGGGAAATTTTACGGAAAAATGAAAAAAGAGGCTTCAAATGTTCCCTCCTGCACTTTTCGAATTTCTTTTTCCCTTTTCATACGATTAGAAATTAAAATGGGAAAGGAGAGAATGAAACTATTAAAAAATGGCTCTAAGATTCACGCTAATTAGTCATTACTAAGGGGTCGTTTGCCGGTTACTTTTGGCTATAGAAGTCAAGTGAAAAGTAAACAGAAATTAATAAACCGGAAATTTGACAAGTAGATGGTGTATTAACATGTCACTCCAAAGAAATATGGTCCATTTTAATGACCCAAGCCGAACTCATGCTCAGCTCTTTTGTGAACGAGCTAATACGATCCAAACACGACCCAACTCATTTATTGAGTTTTGGCTCATCATTTCGATCAAAATTTTGGCTCGAGCTAGCAAACAACTCATTTCATCCTAATTAGTCATTACTAAGGGGCCGTTTGCTTGGTGGAGTAGGATAACAACAAGAAGTTCACTCTTGGAAACGACTCGTATGCGTCAGACACATACGATGCGATAGGATTCTCTAGTTTGTTCAGATATGTTGAAGGAGGATTTGTATGCTTTGTTGTGGTCCCAAGCTCATGTGTTTGCTCATCTAGTTTGAGTTTCTGAAGAAACTCATTTTGATTGTAATCGTCCACCTCATGTCAACGTGTCTACAGGGAAAGATTGGAGGGCCTTATTTATGTTTGTCAAGCAAAGAAACTAAATGTAAGTCAACCATCACTTCCTTTGCTACGTGCATGTCATTGGAGAAACTCTCCATGGGTGGTCAACTAGGGTGACTCAGCTTGTTACTAGTTTGGTCTATACCCGACCATGAGAGGAAAAATGGGGTGGAAATACATAGTTGCCTCATTACTTTCCACGTGGGTTTGCCATGGGAGTGCACTTGGATGGCTTGGGTGGTATGTAAAAGAAACAAATAATACAAACAACTAGCAAATTTTTTTGGAAGATTAGTCATTAATTTGTTAGCATTAAGTTGGAGATTATCCATTAATTTGCTTCGTTGGGCTTAATCTTTATTATAGCCCAAATCAGCCTCCAAATTTAAGGTCCACATGATTGCAATTGCGAGTTGAGCAAAGAAGAATAAAATAAGTAGTTGTGGCGGACAGATTTCATTACAAAATAGGAATGTGATAGAGAGTTTAGACCGAAATCCAGGAAGGATTGTAGGCTAGTCTAAGAGAACATGGAGCCACCAAAAACAACAGACCCAAAAAAAAAGAAGCAAGGAAAAAAAAAACACCACCAAACCCCACCACCGACACCCACCATCAGATGCACAACGGTAACAGACACCACCGAAAGAGAAAGACCACATGCAAGAACAAAGGCTAGTAGTGTTTTTAGAATTGAGAGCATAAAATTCACATATCTGAAGGAACAACCCATTTGCCGTTTAACCAGTCCTGATGTGGCCTCAAATCAGCCTGATTGAACGTTATCTTCTCATCATACTCTATAAAGTTAACCACGTAATTGCAGTTGATCAAAACCTTTGCAATCACGCCAACCCACCAGCCCTCATTGTAGTAAGCATCTACTTCATCCATCACCTTGAATCCATCCACAACAATGATCTCCGGCGGACAAGGCCTTATGTTGCAAGCACGAATGTCTTCTCTGAGAAACTCAGTATCATCATCATTCCTCAGGGTTTTGTACTCAATAAGGTACTTGTCTTCACCCGAAGGTTCAATAATTGTTGCAGCAAACCAAGCACCTTTCAAACCGTCTTCGTCAGTTAGCACCTCGACTTGCATTCCTTGAGTGAACTTCATCACTTCCTTGGAACAATTTGAGTTTAGCCACATCTGCATGTTTATGAAGCGATTCAACGAGGTTGAGACATTGTGAAAAAGAACAAATGCCATCTCTGATCACCCAATTCTCTACTTTCCTCAACCTAACTAGATCGAGATTCAAAATTCCCTAAAATTGTTATACCAAGCAACGGAGCAGGAAAAGTCATAAAATCGAATTAGCTCACCTCTTTCTCCCGCTGAACCTGTTCGAATCGCGGCTCCCACTTCCCTTTAACCCACTGAACAGGCAACCTCAAATCTTTCTCTTCAAATACAATCTGCTCCTTTGAGCCTCTGAAGAACACCACGAATTTGCCGCCGGAGTGCTCCGCAGTAATAGCCCCTTCCCACCAGCCGTCGCTGTGGAAAGCCTCCACTTCGTCGCCAAACTTTAACTGGACCTTCTTCTTCTCGGGAGGCGGCGGCGGCGGACGCAATTGGATCCAATTGAGGGTTTCTTGCAGCAGCTTCTCCCCAGATTCGTCCTCGTAGAGCTGGTCGTACTCGACTACGTAACGATTGGTGTTCTTCGCCTCGCGGCGGACGACGGTGCCGGCGAACCAGGAACCGCGGAACCCGGGGTCGTGGGAGCTGATCTCGACCCCGTCGCCCGGTTTGAATTGGGCGATCCACGAAGAAGATGGGTTCGACTTCGATATTTGCAGAATTGCAGGTGAAGACACGGATGGAAGCGGGGTGATTTTGAGAATGAGAATGGCAAAGAGAACCACATCAATTTATACCCCAAAGAGAAAGGGAATGGGAAAAGACTCTGTTCATTTATACCCCAAAGAGAAAGGGAATGGAGGGAATGGGAAAAGACTGTTCTGCTAAACTTCTCAGTAATGGGAATGACAGTCCCGATAAACTACCTTGGTTCCCTCGCTACTTTATTGAGACACATCCAATCTGCTCAAGTGGGATACCCCATCAACTGAATAGTACCTGAATCATTGCATGTCGTCAATCAGAGAGAGAGAGAGAGAGAGAGAGGCGATGGCGGTTCCGTGTTAACTACCTTGGTTCCCTCGCTACTTTATTGAGACACATCCAATCTGCTCAAGTGGGATACCCCATCAACTGAATAGTACCTGAATCATTGCATGTCGTCAATCAGAGAGAGAGAGAGAGAGAGAGAGAGAGAGAGAGGCGATGGCGGTTCCGTGTTAACACCGACGAGTAGAGAGAGAGAGAGTCGACGATTCCATCGATTGGAGACAGGTGGAAGATTGTTTTTTTTTTCTTTTTTTTTTTTACGAAATCAGTTTCAGGAAGGAGTACAAAGTATGGGCAAGCCCAAATGAAGAGAACAACAATACAGATAAGCAATTCAAAGGCCCACCCGAAAAGCCCAAGTGCCACACATAACACAGAGAGCCCAAAGTAGGCAAATCAAAACCCTATCTGCCATTGCAACCTTGCCATGCCGCCGCTGCCGCCGGGAAAAGCCTGGAATACCATCGTCACCCGTAACTCCACTCAGAGACCTAGAGCAGGAAAATTGAAGTCAAGTGAAAATTGAAGGTTTGCCGGTTACTTTTGGCTATAGAAGTCAAGTGAAAAGTAAACAAAAATTGATAAACCGGAAAATTGACAAGTTGATGGTGTATTATCATGTCACTCCAAAGAAACATGGTCCATTTTAATGAGCCAAGCCGAACTCATTCTCGGCTCTTCTATGAACGAGCTAATACGATCCGAACACGACACAACTCATTTATTGAGTTTGGGCTCATCATTTCGATCAAAATTCTGGCTCGAGCTAGCAAACAACTCATTTCATCCTAATTAGTCATTACTAAGGGGTCGTTTGCTTGGTGGAGTTGGATAACAACAAGAAGTTCACTCTAGAGGTAAAAAGGCAAACATGATTTTATTAGGCTTTAGGGTTTAGGGTTCAGAGTTTAGGGTTTAGAGTTCAGGGTTCAGGGTTCAGGGTTTAGGGTTCAGGGTTTAGGGTTCAGGTTTCAGGGTCTAGGGTTCAGGGTTTAGGGTTTAGGGTTTTAGGGTTTAGGGTTTAGGGTTTTAGGGTCTAGGGTTTAGGGTTTAAGGTTTCAGGGTCTAGGGTTCAGGGTTTAGGGTTCAGGGTTCAGGGTTTTAGGGTCTAGGGTTTAGGGTTCAGGGTTTAGGTTTCAGGGTTCAGGTTTCAGGGTTCGGGGTTTAGGGTTTAGGGTTTTAGGGTTCAGGGTTCATGGTTTAGGGTTTGGGGTTTAGGGTTTTAGGGTCTAGGGTTTAGGGTTCAGGGTTCAGGGTTCAGGGTTTTTGCTTGTAAGTATGTCCTTCGCGTAGTACATTAGTAGGTACGTGAAGGTTTGCCGGTTACTTTTGGCTATCGATGTCAATTGAAAAGTAAACAGAAATTAATAAAACGGAAAATTGACAAGTAGATGGTGTATTATCATGTCACTCCAAAGAAATTAGCCAAGCCGAAATTTTTGTCATTGGATTGTGTATTTAGATGTATCGTATAGGCAGTCGTATTTGGAGATTGCCTGTTGGTTTAAACCGAAGATGAAACCTTTGAATAACAGGTATGTACATTTGTGGCCAAAAGCAGCAACCGTTGGGCCAGAAGGCCCAAATCAGCCTTCCGGCCTGTCTTTTTTAGGCCGCATTCAATTTACTTAAGCCCTGCTCTTGCCTCCCTCGACAACACAGACCTCGTTCCAGATCTTCGCTGGCATCGGCGGTAAAAACTGCCCCTTTCGACCACGGTGAAAACCCTAGCGCCAAGGTATGTCACTATCTGGTCCTAAGCACGCCACTCAGTAGAAAACATCATATTCCTCTAATAAAGATTACTACGATCGCAGCGGACCAACGAACTATGGCAGTTTTCCGCCGAGATAACCCAGTCGCCTCGCGGGATTACGAGGACCCCACCGATCCCCAAGGTTCGATGTTTGTGTTTCTGTAGGTCTAAATTGGTACTGGATTCGATTGATTCGCAAAACCTTACAATAAATGGTGACTCCACTTAGTGTGTTTCTTGTCTCTATTGTAGACCCCATTTGTGCTTCGATGACGTTTCGAGGTTTGCGGTTGGGAACCAACAACCGTACTGTGATAGCTCGGCTTCTAAAAACGTGGACAGAAGTCATTGACGGAGAGGTTTGGAAAACGCCAGCATTGCGCATGCTCTGGATGGACAAAAAGGTTTGTTTACGATTTCCCAGCAAAAAAAACACCAGCTGCTTATCTATAACATTCTTTTACACATGCTAATCCCGCAGAAACGAGTTATTGAAGCTCTGGCATATGAAAAGGACATTGATGACGTGATGGCGAGGATCAAAGTTGGTCGTCTGTATCGCCTAAGCATTATCGTTACAATCCCCTCAAGTAAGAACAAACGCATTGTCCCAGGAGAACTGCGGCTGCTCATGAACTCTGACCAACTGATTGACAACATCGAAGAAGACCAGAACAATCCTAAGTTTCCCCTCAACTCATTCCTGAACTCTCATTTCTCAATGGTCCCTGCAAAGTTTGAAAGTTTCTACTGCCACGCAGGTAAAACAATGTACACCACTTTCACGACCAACACACACTAAAAATCCCATAACATCTATACAATTACAGATTTCACAGGCTGCGTACGGCGAATCACATTACCAAATGCCCTCCAAGATGGCATGCTTGATTTCCATCTGGTTATTGAAGACTACAGGTATACTAAACTATGTACCTTAGATCGTTAAAACTTTCGACAGCGAATAATTTATATTTTGTTTGCATTTGCAAAACAGTGGGAACAAGGCTGTTGTGAAGTACTGTGGCTACGATGTCGCTGGTTACCTCCAACAAGCAGCAGATGTAGAGTCGCACCTCCCGCTGATAACCACAGTTACATCGGTAGTCTCCGTGCCCCATGCATGCAACGATGATGGTATATATGAGCTGGAATCGACACAAGCCAGTCGTCTGATTATCAGTTCATACAATGAGACCACTGAAAGAGTCATGAACAGGTATTGATTTCCTAACAATCTCTAAGACAATTTGTTCACTTCAAATATGCTTTCATTGCAACAACTTAGCCTAACATAGACATCTATTTGCAAAACTCAGGTTTCTGCCATGCCGCAAACCGATCAAGTACATAATCTATGGAACAGCTGAAAGGATGGGATACTTAAGCTACCCTCGCCCCCCAAGAACAACACTTGCTCAGATAAAAGAAGACTTGAGTTCAATACCACAACATCGTGAGGTATATTATGATGCTTTGAAAAATCCCAACATTCAAATATGTTTCACTTGCTATTGCCGTGCACTCTAACCTGGCAAAAACAATTTTTATATTTCAGACCCTCTACCGAACCATAATCAAGTTCACTCATGTCAAATGCAAAATCGACATTTGCAGAACCACTCGGGAAACGCCAAGGTGAGATTAAATATTTAAATTGACCGGTTTGCACTTTTGGCAAGGAACGCTTGCATTATTCTCAACAAAGCTAACGAGCTTCTATTATGACCAGACTACATTACCAAATCGAGGCAAGGTGCAAATCTGAATCATCCGAGGCTGATGTTGTACTCAACCACGAGGCAGCTCTGTCAATACTCTGCATGATGCCGGCAAAGTATCTCAAACTGAACGAAGATGAAATAAAAGACATCATCAAGAAAAACTGCGAGAAGACCTTCGCAGCAGAACTGTACATTGCATGGCCAAACCCAGGTCAGAGCACCGTGCCGCACATCAGGGTTGCCACACTTTGGGATCACTGTGCTTTCGACGATTGAACATCAATTTCGACCAGCTACATTTTGAATCAGGAAAACTGCTACTGATTGACCGCCTTTTGCTGTTTCTACCTAAGCCCTGACATAATTGACAACACTTTTGGTCTAGCCTTTTGTCATGTACATGCCGTTCACTGAACATGATGCACATATTTTGTAGATCTTTGTTGATCTGTCTATTTCGCAGCAACAACTACCACCTGGCTTAATCAGGTAGTTCAGTCAAACTGTGAATCTATTGTGAATGCTTAGGACACATTTTGGGAAATACTTTTGCATATGTACCTATATTCAGTGTTAGACAATATTGATATGCAGATGTCCTTAATGGAATAAGTTGCAAGGGGAAAAACACAGATTCTGAGACGAAAATTGGTGTCCAAAAATAAAACACATCCCGCAGCGCGGGCTTATTTTATTGTATTTTGTCATAGAAACCCTTGCGGATTAACTAGGTAAGCACGAGAGAGCCACAATACAACGGCTTCTTCGTGAAATGATAGTCAAAGCAAATAAGAACAATTAAAACGAACATTACAAGAGCCAGAGTAGCATAAGGCATTACGTGCCACAACATGGGCAGCCCGATTCGCTTCTCTAGTAGTAAAAGCAACAAAAACCAATGGCAATTCTTGCAACATAAAGATGACTTCTCGTAAGATAGCCCCCACAAGGGCATCATTGGCATTAGAAGCCTTCAAATCTTGTACAACTGCAATAACTTAAAACCAAAAATGAAATGCTGCTGATGGGTTTCGAACCCAAGCCAAAAATTAGGCTTGCAAACTGCCATCCGCTGGACTGCAATCAACATTCTTTGTTCAATTGTGTACGCTTATTAATATGAATCATCCCGCAGCGAAGCGCGGGCTTATTCCCAGTAGTAATAACTTAAAACCAAAACTGAAATGCTTCTGATGGGTGTCGAACCCAAGACATAAATTGGCATTGCAAACTTCCATCCGCTGGACTACAATCAACATTCTTTGTTCAATTGTGCACGCTTATTAATATGAATCACGGAAACAATTTGCTTGCCACTTAACCAACAAAAACCTATTTGTCCAAGTTGATTAACGAGCTCTACATATTGTGTACATTTGAGGGCCAAAAGCAGCAACCATTGGGCCAGAAGGCAACCAAACTAGCATCCCAAGTCAATTAATCACTTATTGAAAGTCTTCTGGACTTATTTTGTTCATGAAAACCAGCCATTATTATATAGATGTAGTGAAGTGTGATGTTTATTTTCAAGCTATGTGGTAGAATTGTTGCTTCCTACGTTGGACTATATTGTTCAGCTTGTAAAACTAACGATCCTAGCTAGCTATGTATATATTTTGACATTTTTTGCAATCATTCGTTCCTATTGATAGATGTTTATATTTAAGCACCTTCGTATTTTTATTTTCAAGTTCGCTCTTGTTATTAATTTTCAAGTTCGCTCTTTCTTATGAATCACGAATACTAATTTTTGATTGTTTGTGGCATGTAGTGTAGTATGAAGCAACAAACAACCCATAAGGAAGCAACAATTCATTAAGAAGGGCAGGACCCGTACAAAATAACATTGTGTTCACACACTTAGTACACTTGGATAACAAGAGAAATGGCATTAAGGCCGACACTAAGAAAATTTAGTAGATTTCTATTGACATTGCTGTAATGGTATTCAGTTTCCACGAGGAAAGAATAGTTTGACCAATAAC